CTTAGTTCCCTCTTCACATGATATTTTCCATGTTACCCTTGGATACGAGTCTAAGTTCTTGCCTCCCGTCTGGATTCCACCCGATAGTCTGTCCTGTGAAGTGCCTTGAAAGTCTTTCTTCTTACTATATTTCCAGTTTTTCTTTTTGGTCAACATGTAGTTTAATGGTGGAATGTTTGTCAGTCACTTAAGCTGTCTGGATTTGATCTCCAGCCGATGCACTCCTAAACCCCATTTTGTCAGTAGGATGGTAAGTGAGGAGGGAAGGTTGGTTAGGAAGCTAGAAACCCCACCTCGTAGAAAGAACATCACCCCTACTTAGACTTCAGGGCCTCAACTTGAAACCCGTTCATATTAGATAAGTTTATTCCAAATATCACACAGTGATGATGCAGTATTATTAACTGGATGAAAAGGTCTCCAGCATAAACTATTGCCACTCATGAACACATCAGTTTAGTCAAACGGCTGGGCAGTTTCTCCCATTTATACATTCTCCTTTTCTCTCTCTCTTTTCTCCTTGTTGTTTGTTGCAACCTTCCAAGACATATAAACGATCAATCTTGTTGTTTTCAACTAAATCTTCTTCAGGCTTTACTCTAATTTACATAGCTTTATATGTATAGAAAATAACCATAAATAAATAATAATTCAATGACTGTGAGTGGGGTCAGTTACATAGGTCAGTCAAACTAGTGGTGGGTCGGGGTCAACTAGATTAGTGGTAAATAAAAATTCGGCTAGACGTGGAATGATTGACCATGGTAAGTTAAACAACGCGGAGAAAACACAGTTTAGCCACTGCATTGCATTCCCTTGCTTGCTATCAAACAATATGTTGGACAGGACAGGGTGAGACTATTAAACAGTAATATAGTTAGGTGGAGATAGTGAGAGAGAGAGGTTAGTCGCTGGGTCTTTGTTTATCGACTCAGCACCAGTTATTAGTCTGAAAGAGCTGCTTCTAAGATACATTATGAGTGTAAACTCCACATTCAACAACCTTTATTACAAACAAATCGACGGTATTGTCAAGGGTTATCCAATGGGTACAACTTTGGCTGATTTCTTTCTCGCTAAGCTTGAAAATGGTCTATTGAAACAAGAAAGAGATAAAATGGATTCTTACTTTCGCTATGCTGATGATACGAATGAATTGGCTTCCTTTTCTTGGAGATAGGCACGCGACTACAAAAATTAGTTAGTTGTCCATTCCATGTATGTTTTCGGTGGATGGATCTTCTGAGAGATCCGTGGTGAATTGCAATTCACCATAGAAAAGGAACCTGAACTAAGCATCCCTTTTCTTGATGTGTGCCTTAGTAGACGCAATGGTGGATCCCTCGAAGGTATCATCAGCTGATGACGTTCATGTTATGGACGATTAATTAACTTTCATGGTTAGGTGATCAGGCTTCATATATGCTCAAAAACAGTCTCGCTAAATCAGTTAGTAAGACGTTCTTTACTGTAAGCTTTTCTCTATCTCTGTGAAAGATAAATTCCCCGTTTGACCACCTTCATGTGCATCTATCAGTTCATTCGCTTTGGAGTAGCAGGGTACATTGGCCGCAGCCAGAGGACGCTTTCCACACGGATGCGAGAACATATTCCAGCATGGTTTTACAAAGGAGAAAGAAAGGGTGTACTAGGGTCTATTCTAAGAAACTCGATCTACTCCCATCACTCTACCAACCCTGAGCACGACTTTCAGATCATCTATCGAATCCATGCTAAATTACCGGCCGCGTTTTTCTCATTATAAACTTCTAAAGACAGAGGAGGACTTGACCATTCATGAATTTAAGCCAAAACTTTGTGTTTAAGAGAAGTATGTACAATCCCTATTTCTCACTTGACTGTAAAGGGATAGACATTTCTTTCTTTCTATTTATTCTGCTTATTTATTTAATCTATGTACCTTTCCTTCATAACTACGATTATTATTATTGTTGCTATTACTATTCTTACACTGAACTGTTTCCACTTGTCCCACTCGTTATTCTAAACCCAAAATGTTGAATTCTATCTTATTAAACTTCACATCATGTCATGTAACTTTTTATATTAGCCTACTAACCATATAAAAATACCAATCTTCCCTACATCTAAATATCTTATGAACTATCCTATATACGACATTAATTGTTTTGCCACTTGATATTTAACTATGATTAAAATTCCCTACAGTTGATTTGTAAAGATTAGTTTTGTTTCTACGAGTCGATGACCGGTTGATGTCAGTTAGAGAACCATTGAAAACCAGGGAGTACTGGACAGCTGTTTAATCTTAGTTTGGGAATCATCAGCAGTACGCAACCCCTGAGGTTCGAACCCAGGACCTTCCGGTTACAAGGCAAGCTGGCTCGTATACCATTCAGCCACTGGCACCCGATTCAATGGCTCATGAATTGCAAGCCCTACCAATTCGTGATTTAGTGCGGTCACCAAAGATGTCATCAGTGGGACATCCAGCTTCACACTTGACTGGATGGACCACACAAGGATTATAATCACAGATATTTTAATCGCATCTCATACTACTAATAAATGTACTCACACCTTTGATTCAACCCCTTTACAGGATATAATTTCCTAAAAACCATATATATATACAACTGTACAGCTGGATAATAAATTCGTTGAAAAGGGTCTTTTCTCTGAATATTGTGTTCTTCATGTTACAGTGGGGACTGGTTACAGGATTTCAACATGATAAGCTGATAGCGGTTACAGAAGTATTGGGAAACCTGCAGGGATTACTGGACAGCTGTTTCATCCTAGTTTGGGAATCACCGGCAGTAATCATTAACTGGGATTCGAACCCAGGACCTTCTGGTTACAAGGCGAGCTAGTATATCATTGAGCCACTGGGACCCTATTCAATGGCTCATAAATTTAAACTTCTCCCAATTCACAATATGGCATGACAACTAGCCAATGTCTTCTTTGATGAGTTACTGCCTCACCTTCAACAATCGGATTTATCAAATTATTCAACACATTATTATAATTGAAATTTGGTCCACAAACTCACCGTCATTGCTTAAATTTTTTAATACCTATAAAGCTATGTAAATTAGAGTAAAGCATGAAGAAGATCTAGTTGAAAACAACAATATTGATCGTTTATATGTCTTGGAAGATGGCAACAAACAACATGGAGAAGAGAAAGAGAGAATGTACATATATGAGAAATTGTGAAGCCTTGTAACAAAACCATTATGATTATGAGTGGCAACAGTTTATGCTGGAAACCTTTTCATCCAGTTATAAATATTACATCATCACTGTGTGATATATGAAAGAATCTTGAGTGATATGGGATACTTTAAGTAATTTAATGTCATAATTATTTGACGCAGTTCAGCAGATACACTGCAAAGGTTTTAGAAAAAAGCTTGGTGTTGTATACAGCAGTAAAAATCTCTTCCTTGACTTCAGAATAAACTGGACACTGATGGATTAAATATTATGACGGTTCGAATAACTCTATTGAAGCTGTTTATCACAGAGCGACAGATGTTATGATAACTCATTCTTAGCTTAGCAATAAATTACACTGCCACTTACGTCTCAGCAACTTATTATGGGAAGAAATTGATGATCTTGTTGTCTCTGAAACCTTCAAAATTAAACCTCTAGATCATTTACAAGTAGGATCACCTGAAAGTCAATGCATAAACTGTTCACTCTTCCACCGTGTTATTATTAAAAAGGTTAGATAAGAGTCTTTCTGGAGAGGCACTTTTAATGTGCTTCCAAATGGAACCATTTTTAAAAATTCGAGAAGCAGGTCCTACTCTGTGCATCTTGTAAATTAGTCATTGTCAAAGCTCATTTGTTTCCTGAGGAAGAATAATATCCTCACTTATTATTATAACACATTGTTGGTTCAAAGTTTTAGCAGACGCCAGCTATGCAAAAGAGGTCCAGATTCGATTTCCTGCTGATACACTCCTACAACTTGGCGGCAGTAAGCTAGGACGCGAAAACCAGCAAACTGGCACAAGAAGAAAATAGTGAAGACAAGAATCCAAGTGATGAAAATAGAGAAGAAAGAAGTGATGAAGATATCCACCAACCAACAAACACAACAAGAACCGAACGATATCAACGGCAGAAATTGAGGTGAAGTTACGCCCCACACCCATCTAATAAGCAGCATAGCTTCAACTACAGACAACCTGCATGGCTGAGGATCATGGAAGCAACCACAATCGGAAAGCAAAGTCAGACAGATCTTCATCACTCTGATATCACTGTGGAAATCTCATGCACTCATGCACAGCATAAACAAGAAAAGTCGAATTCTCAACACAAATTTGAAGTAAGTCACTCCTTCTATATGGGTCAGAAACTTAGCCAGCATGTCACATAAAGCAGTTCCAACAGACCAATTCAGACTTCTATCAACAGTCGCCTTCAGTGGCTCCACACTGGAGATCAGATGACCAGATGGCCAGAAGCAATTAGCAATGAGAAACTCTGAGAACGAACCTATTGGAGACCTGTCGCTCAACAAATATTCTGAAGGAAGTGGAGATGGATCAGATGCACTCTGAGGAGATGTGTGAGTGACATGGAGTGCAGTGCAGGCCCTTGAGTGAGAATCGAATGGGAAACGACGATCTGGACGTCGACTCAAAGGGTATCGTTTGGAGAGGAGGAGATGAAAGAGACTATGAGCAATCATGGGGCCAGCTGAAGACGATTTCAGAGAATAGGATGAGATGGAGATGTGCTGTTGAAGCTGTATGTTCCACTTGGAGCTCTAGGTAATAATAATAGTTGTAATAAGCCGGGGGATAATGGATGGTTTGGTGGGGGTCTCCACTCCATAAAAAACAACGACAATACCGCTAATGAAACTTTAAATCTTAAAGCTCCATGTTCCTTGTCTTTAGATCACGGTTGAGCCGGAAAAAAGTGCTGATGTTACATTTTAGTAACCAGAATATATGAAAAAAAACAAAACAATAGAACAAACAGCTACTCACATTACTTTTAAATGACCATCGATCTGGTAACAATTTGTAAGGCGATTTATTCGTTCGACTGAATGGTAAACAGAATGTCTTATTTTGCCGACTTTGATTTCTCATTTCAACAGTGTAACTCCTACGTAATGGTTGATTTAGAATTAAAGAGTCAGCGGGTGAAACATTTGGTGTTTTTGTAAATATTGGATAACTGCTACTACTAGTATTAGTGTTAGTAGTATCAGTAGTAGGTGTGTTATAATATTGTTCAAATTCATGTGTGGTGGTTGTAGTGGTATGCGTCAACATTTTGCGCGAAATTACAATTCAGTTGATTCAGTGATAAACTGCTCTAAGTGAAAGGAAACATTGAACAGTTTTGTCATTTACATGTAATATATGTCATGTATATTTATATGAAAACTTGTTTACTCTTTGTTGACATGGTAACTAACGAAATTTTCTATTATTTTGTTTATTGTCAACTAACACACATGAACACACACACTTTCTTCCTTATTGGATGGAACAAGATGTAGCATTCACTTAGAATCAATGAAAGTGGCCTAAATTTGTATCAGAATACTTGACATTTATTTATAGATGTTTATTTTCTGACCACTATACACCTTGTAATTATTGTATTCCATATTGTTGGGTTTTTGGATAGAAGAGACAAGAAATATAAGCAATGAAATTATTAGTTGCTTTATCAGTGATGCCTTTTTTAAATTCTATTTTGTTGTTCTTGTGAAAATGGCTACAATGACAGATTGTTTGACATTCAAATTCCAAAAAAAGGATTGATGAGAAAATAAGAAAAGCAGAGGTTTTACCACTATAGGCATAGATGTACACTTCAGTAATTCAGTTCACTTGTTCCCTTGGGTTCCAAATGGAATATAGGGCTACGATAGCACATCTCCACTTCATCCTATTCTCCGCAACCATCTTTAGCTGGCCCCATGATTGCTCATAGTCTCTTTCATCTCCTCCTCTCCAAACGATCACCCTTGAGTCGACGTCCAGCTCGTCGTTTCCCATTCGACTCTCACTCAAGGGCCTGCACTGCGCTCCATGTCACTCAAACATCTCCTCAGAGTGCATCTGATCCATCTCCACTTCCTTCAGAATATTTGTTGAGCGACAGGTCTCCAATAGGTTCGTTCTCAGAGTTTCTGATTGCTAATTCCTTCTGACCATCTGGTCATCTGATCTCCAGTGTCGAGCCATCGAAGGCGACTGTTGATAGAAGTCTGAATTGGTCTGTTGGAACTGCTTTATGTGATGTGCTGGCTGAGTTTCTGACCCATATAGAAGGAGTGACTCACTTCAAATTTGTGTTGAGAATTCGACTTTTCTTGTTTATGCTGTGCATGAGTGCATGAGATTTCCACAGTGATATCAGAGTGATGAAGGTCTGTCTGACTTGGCTTTCCGATTGTGGTTGGTTCCATCATCCTCAGCCATGCAGGTTGTCTGTAGTTGAAGCTATGCTGCTTCTTAGATGAGTGTGGGGGGTAACTTCACCCCAATTTCTGCCGTTGATATCGATCGGTTCTTGTTGTGTTTTTATTGGATGGTCGATGTCTTCATCACTTCTTTCTTCTCTCTTTTCATCACTTGGATTCGTGTCTTTACTGGTGACTTCTTCTGCCAGTTTCAGGGTTATCACCTATACATCTTAGAGTTCGTATGACGTTAGACATAAATCATCCGAAAAATCCAGAACTCCCCAGGTACGGTGTTCCACATAATGTAGTTCACTACAATTAGGAACGTCATCGAGGATAGTAGGCAGCCTTGTCTTACTTCTGTTTCCACTTCAAAGGCAGGCTTCGATGAGTCTTCCTTTGTGGATAGAGAAGAATTACTGTGGCAGATTAGTATGGATTCATTTCATTGGTTCTTTGAAGCTGTGTACAACCTATAATACTGAATAAAACTAGTTCTGATACAATTTTAACAGAAAAGATCGTTGCAAGAAAGTCATAATGGAACAAAACATAAGGATGACAGGATTAAAGTAGGCTATTAGTAAATATTTATATATATTTATTATAAGAGCGCATGGACAGTGATACTTTAGTGATAATTGCGCACTACATCATTTATTATAATTGTTCCCTTGGGTTCCAACTGGGACGTAGGGATTCAATAGAACATCTTCCCTTTATTTTATTTTCTGCGGTCCTCTTTAGCTGGGCCCACGACTGCTCATATTCTGTAACATTCTCCTCACACAGTCTCCTTTATGTCACACTCAGATCCACGCAGAACTCATCGTTTCCCATCCAGGTTGCACTCAAGAGATGGCCTGGCACTTGATGCTATTCGACGATCTCCTCAGTGTGTGATCAATCTATCTCCATTTTCTCCACCAGAGGATAAAGATTTACTTAGTAGAGAGTTACCAGGATAATTTAAGTTCCAAGACGGATTCCCTTTGAACAGATAGGTCTGGTTTCAGTCATATTATCGCTATGGCTTCAACAAATCGAAGAAGACCTGAGTTATTTTGTCTGTTAATTAATAATAATAATTTGCTTTCTTCCAAAACAGTACTTGTGATACAGAATGGAATTCTCAGCATTTTTACTACAGTATTGCATCCAGTTAGTACATTATCAATAAATAGAATTCTACATAGATTAAGGAAAATCACAGTTCATTATGACAACAACACATTGGCATGTCGGTAGCAAAGGTAGAGCTGAACAGTGTTTGAAGGTGTTAGAAAAGTAGGAGCTGTCATATTTACTGGCGTAAGCGAGAGAAAGAAACAAAGCAGCACATAACGGAAAAAGAAGAGAGAGAAAAGGAACAGAAAGAAAGAAAATGTTGTACCTATAAATGATGTGAGTTGGAAAGACGAGATCCAGTTGTTCTACTAACTATTTAACGAATTATAGGTGTCATGCCTAATGCTTTCCTTATCACACAGAACACTAGATAAGTAGGGTATGGTTGAGTTTTTGTACTTGCTGGTGCGAGCATATAGTTTTCTATATAGGCTTCTGGTTTTGCTTGATAAGTTGCAAGGGGAGAGTTGTGAGTGAAGAGGGTGGTGTGAGTTAGATAAAGTGGATTTGGCCCATTTTTCACATGAGTCCATGTGCCTGTCAACCAGAATATTAACAAGCTGGTTAAGTGGCACGTTGCTTACCCTGCTGACGAACTTTAACATCCTGCGTCATAAGGTATAGTCTTTCTTCAGTAGCCCGGGAAAAACTAAGGTGGAACAATAGAGAATAATAGGCAGAATGCGAGAGTTAACGAATTGTTGGTAGAAGTAAGGGTTGGGTTATACCAGAATGTTTTAACTTCTTGATGTAGAAGGTAAGACGGAATATTTTCTTAGAAATCGCTAAGATATGAGACGCCCAGGAAAGATCAGCAGATAGAATGACGCCTAGGTATTTTATTTCTGATTTGTTTTCTATTTCAGTGCCGTCTATGTTGCATACCTCGTGAGAGCCAACCAGTTTGTTTAGGTCGGATTTATGCCTAAAGGTGAAATTGACCATTTGACATTTGGAGGGGTTTAGGGTAATACCGTTTTCCTTGGACCACTGGCTGATTTCTGATAGAAAGCCATTTAGTTTAGAGCAGTCACTTTGACATTTGACAGGAAAAGATGCACTCAGGTCGTCAGCATATTTGACAAAATTAATGTCATTTGAAGATGGTAAGTCATGTAGAAAGAGAGAAAAGAGAAGTGGGGAGAGTACAGCGCCTTGGGGGACTCCGGCTTCAGTGAGTACAGCAGAGGATGATTTAGCTTTGTATACGGCGTACTGCTTTCTATTAGAGAATTATCTTGAATGGTATTAATGTATCCAGTTGGTTGGTCGTGTGCCTATCAGGTGTTTAGTAATTGACAGTTTCAAACTGTAATATCGCTTTAGCCAAAGTGTTTCTGGTTAATGTTCAAAGAATCTGACATAGGCCCCTCTTCCCTATCTCCCAATGTAAGCTCGCTCATAGATATTATTATTGTATTCTTGTTCCCTTGGGTTCCTAGTGGAACATAGGGCTTCAACTGCACGTCCCCACTTGCTTCTGTCGTCTGCTGTGCTTTTCAACTGAATCCATGTTAGTCCATACTGTTTCAACTCCTCTTCACACGATCTCCTCCATGTCACTCTGGGACGTCCCACTCGCCGCTTCCTTTTCGGGTTCTACTCGAGGGCCTGACGCCCGATGTTGCACAGCGACCTCCTCAGCGAGTGTCCGCTCATAGATATACATAAATATATATGTATATAAAATAAAAATTGAGTGTTTAAATTTCATTCAGACTTCATGTTTTTCTAGAAATCTAGAAGCTTTCAGAATTATTCGATTTAATGGTTGCAGTTCGTGAAGATGTCGAATAAATTGTTGGTTTCGATTACATGTAACACTGAGTGGAGCCATAGTCTTTGCCTATTTCTTTTATTCCTTTGCGTTCTCAGTGGAACATAGGGGGCTTCAAGCTAGAGGCTTGAGGTTTCGGTAGCAGTGGTGTTTATTTTCTTACGAAATGGGCTGCTAGCCGCATGCACAACCTTCTCTCTTTACCAGTCTTATTAATGGCTTAGCGAGGTAAAGGAGTGCGCCTGTGGCCGGGGATCGAACCTCGGACCACATGCGGGGTCGGCGAGCATTCTACCGCTGGGCCACCGATGCACTGTCTTCGTCTATGCATGTCTAAATATATACCCAGAGGAGAAAAAATCTGTCGGGACATTGTTTCTCTTCCTCTCTATCAATTTTCTTTGCCGATAAATCTTTCACCTGACACACAAAAATAACTAAAGTTAGCACTGAAAATGTTGTCAAGAACAATAACGGAAACTTTGCAGTTGAAGAATTCCTCCCCAGTTAACATAAAATCACCAAATGATATCATCATCTACCAGTACCGCTATTGACAGGTAGATATTAACCAATCACACAGTGCTATTTCAATAATATACACGCCTTTATTCGGCAGTCATTAGTAGGTCGCAAATCTTTGATAGCAAAGAAACTTCTGTCATTAGAACACCTGAATTTCAATCATTCATTTGTCTTAGTGAAGATCATTTCCGAATAGGAATATGGTTTATCGGTTATACACTTAAATTTCAGCTGTCACACTCAGAGTTCGAATCCCATTCCACCTAATTCATACTGGGGAGCTGAGTATTACCATCAAAAGGTAATCGAAATTCATTGAATAATCTCACCTCATTCACAATGTCTATTTCTATGGATGATCTCAAATCTATCTTACAGCTGCAGCAAGCTCAGAATGAAGCAGAACATCTAAAATCAGTCGAAGCTCTCACTCAGAAGCTACCCGTTTAAGTCCCTTTAACATCTCATTCAGATAAATATGAAAGCATTCTTAATTCTGTCGGTGAGTTCACTTATGATCCAGTATCTGGTCTCGTATTTGATTCATGGTTCAATCTTTACGAAGACGTTTTTCGCATTGAATTTGCAATGTTCGACGATACTGAGAAGTTTCGATTATCATCATTTATCAAAAGTGCAGTCAGTGGCATAGCGGTTAGGACGCTTGCCGACCATGCACATGGTCCGGGGTTCGATCCCCGGTCGACGCACTCCTTTACCTAGCTAAGCCAGAAATAAAGCTGATGAAGAGGAAAGGTTGGGCATGAGGCTAGCAACCCCATCCTGTAAAATAAACAGTGCTGCAGAAACTTCAAGCCACTAGCTTAAAGCCCTATGTTCCACTGGGGAATGCGAAGGAAACAAAATCAAAAGTGCCTTTCGATGATTATGTCATTTATGCTGGTAGAGTGAACAGAGAATGTGAGAGATTGAAACCACATGAGATGACATCACATCAGTTCAAATGTTTAATTTTAACTTGCGGTTTGAACAGCCCTGAAGAGATGCTGATATTCAAACTCGACTTTTGCCTCACTCTTGGAACAATATTCGAAAATGACTTTACAGGTGGTGACAGCAGAACGTCAACGTGCAACCAAGTTGAAGCAGGATACTGCTACAGTGGAGCACAAATCACAGCTGTCTGAATGTGGCTCAATTAATGCAGTGAAAACCTCTCCGACCACCTCCAAGCATGCAGAACATCAGTCCCAAAGTTCAGCTAATCTCTCATTAATGTGCCGGTACTGTGGTTTGTGAGATTTAGTCAAATTTTGTCCATTCAGGAAACCTAAATGCCGCAAATGTCACCTTTTTGGACATAAACAGGGTTACTGTTCACCAAAGGAAAACTCTTCTGTGAGGAACAAACATAGTTCCTTCAAGCAGAAACAACTCCCTCGGTTACAGACCGTTTTAACAACATCCAAAGTCGATTTTGCCAGCAGACGAAAGTATGTCACGCTTTCTATTAATAATAAACCTATTCATCTTCAATTGAATACAGCGTTAGATATCAATTTAATTTCCCGCAACACGTGGTACACACTTGGGTGCCCACAGATTATTTCTACAGAACATATCTCTAAGAATGCTTCATGAAAAATAGCAAAAAAGGTCGTTTTGGAGAAGTGGGGAGCCAACCAAACGAATCAAAAGTCCCCAATAAAAATACAAAGGAAATTCTTCTACCATATATGTAAAGAATATCTCTGAAATCATTACAAGATTATTCAAACCCTTTCGAGTTCATGTTGCCCATAAACCAACAAAATCACTTCACTAGGCTTTATGCCTACCGAAAGACTCAACAACGAAAGAAGATGAAACCAACACCACCTAAGAGGGAAATTACAATGACTGTGAAATGCATGACAGTGGTCATAGTGGACGCCATCTTCGTCTTCTTCTCATCCGTGATCATAAACTGGCCGTTGAAAGACACGATATCACCGTCACCCCCTCACTTCATTGCATATAGAAAACCACAAACACACATTCTATTGTGATAATGTCCAATAGATGGAGGGAGAGAGAGAGGTTGATTACCGCATCTTTGTTCATCGAATTTGTGCCCAACACACGTTATAGGAATGACTCATATGATAGAGAAGATTTATAGCTCAGGTGGATGATTTTGATATGGTTGTGTTCTCTGAGCTGGATAGTTAATTTGCGGAGCTTTCATCGCCCTACTAGGCGACATCTTCAGCGCATACTTCAGTTTGAAGTGAGCTTTCAGATTTCTCCACGAGTTTATTATTCATCTCTCCTGGTGACCTTGGACGTGATTGGTTGTTTTTGCGTGTTTTCACACCTTCTAGGTTATTTGTATTGCAATTCATTGTTTCTTTGGCTTGAACTTTGACCCTTTGTGTGTGAGGTTTCTTTCTTATCGGTTGATAAATTTTGTCTATCTCGATGTGTCTATTGATTACTGATTCACTGGAATGCCAAGCTTCTAAAAATTCTCTAGCATTCTTGTTGTTTCCTCTGTCTAATATTTGAAAGTTGTCCCAGTCGAATTGATATCCGTGGTTGTCTGTATGTAGTGATATGAGGGAGTGGATATCATATCTTTTGACAGCTAGCTTATGTTCGTGGGTACGAAGACGAAGGGGACGTCCACTTTGGCCAATTTAGTCAGTGTTTTTCGCACCTGATACAATCTATTTTGTAGATGATGTTAGTTTTATCTTCCTTCGCTGTTGAGTCTTTTGGCTGACATAGAATTGAGCGAAGTGACTTTGTTGGTTTGTGTACGACGTCAATTCCTAAAGGTTTGAAGAGTCTTGTAGTGATTTCGGAGATATCCTTTATATATGGTAAGGCGATTTTCTTTGTGCTTTCCTTGGGGGCTTTTGTTTTGATAGGTTGGCTTGGGGGTATATGTCTTTTGACGAAATTCCGTGGATATCCATTCTTTTGGAAGACGTGCAGGAGATATATCATCCGTAAATATTACTGCATAACACTGTATGAGACTTTATCAAAAAATGAATTTTTCTCCATAATGGGAACAACACTAGCAATAAATGATCTCATGTGTATATAATACAATGATATTTGCATACGAATAAGGTAACCTTGAAGAAATGACTATCTCTCTATCTATCTAACAGTGGTGACAAAGCGGAATGATTATATGGACAATCATTGCTACAGACACTTTGATGATGAAGGATGTTGATGGGGTGTTGAAACAACATTATGGATTGGTATTCTAACAGTATACTATTTCACTCTATTGGTCCGTCTAAGAGGTATGTATGTCTTAATATTAAGGCATACATAGACACAAAGATCTGTGTATAGATAGGCGTACAGGCTTTCGTAAATATTACGTTTGTATGTGTGTATGTGTGTGTGTGCGTGTGAGCGTGCGTGCGTGCGTGCGTAGACGTGTACGTATTTCTCCACTTTCGTACACTAGATCAGATCTACATGAATAAATGCTACACACGTACAATGTACTGAAAGTAGTATTTTAATAGTAGTATAAGTATTAGTAGTATTCATAAGAAAAAAATCGATTCATAACATTTATATTAGAAGGAAGCAAGCAAACGAAAAAACCAACAAAAAAACAACAACAACAACACTAGTTTACTTTACTGTGTGTGCATGTACAAGGGAGAGGGGAATTGGTTGGCATTACGCCTAGAAAGGCAGACATTCATGCATTCAATCAGTGGGATAGCTTAATTTATTTACTTGTTTATTTTCTTCTTGATTGTTAATTTTTACCATGAATTATAAGATATTTTGGAGAATAATGAAAAACACGGGCTGTTTATTTACTCAATAAACAGACTACCTAACACTGTTGTTTAATCAAGGAATTATTATACCATAGAAGGCCTTAGCATGATATGCTCCTAATACTGATGCAGCGTTATTATCGTTTTATTTTATTGTCAGTATTGATTTCTTATTCACTACTGGATTTAACTGTGAGGAACTACTCGTAGCACGGTCATGTCAGCTGGATATACACCACCGTCTTCAAGTAAATGGACAGGAAATAGTAGTAGTTATACAGGAGAGAAAATCTCCACAACCTCACCTATTCCTAATTGTAATACTTTAATGAATCAAGAATCCTATCTGAATGCTTCGAAGACTAATAGTCAACAGAATCGTTCCCTATCGCCTTATCATTTGAAACAAGAACAATCTCATCTTAATGATACATCAAAATCACCTTTGCTGTTGTATCCTCCTCCTCCCCCGGTTAGCTTACAAATGCAGCCTATTCGAAATCATCGTCCACCTGTTGTTGAAACACATTTTACACATGAAAGATCATCTCCACTGCTGAGCTTTCAAAAGGTGAATCCATGTCTACGTAAAGATCAATATAGACCAGCAGTAAACTATCCGATAAATCGATACAACCCTGTTCGGCTTCACAGACCCCCTGTAACAAATTTACCACAATCTCAACAGTATGAAAATAGGTTAAATATTGGTCAGGATTATCACACTGGATCATATACGAATCCACGTGCGTTAATGAATCCCACCCAGAGGTGTACACTACATCCAAAAGGACGATCACCAAATTTAACGCCTCCTAAAAGGACTCTATCCCCTGAAATAGCTCATACTTATATTCTACCAAATAGTCCAGTCAATTCGTTAAGAAGTACACCTCTACCTAATAAAACGAATCTGCTCGATAATGATAATGATGATCCAGATATCTGGAATATCGGTTCATCGACAGAATTCAGTCAACCGGTGTATTCAATGAATCCAAGCCATCAAGGACACAAGTTTTCACTTTATAATGAAGGGCATCGGTTAATGGATGCACCAAAAGAATACACTGAACACCAGTCTACCAAATGCCTTCAAGATTCAAATGTATCCAGTTCTGAATGTGGCAGTTTAATTAGTACCGATGATGATGAGACTGTATCTTTGAATACGACAGACAGTGAACAGAATATGAATCTTCTCATGAATAGACATTCAATTTCTTTACAGAGGATTAATAGTAGTAAATCTGAAATTCATGGTTCAACACAAACTCTCGTACCAATGAGTAAATTCCAAAGGAATCGATTTAAAAATCCTCATACTTCATCGTGTAAATCAGTTCACTGGAACGAGAGTCAGACAGAATCAAAAAGAAAAAGTTCATTGGTAAGCTTTTCTTTTTTCTTCATACTTATTCACCATATATTTATTCCCTTTTATGAATTTCAATAAAGCAAGAACAACAGAGGTTTGTGCAGAATAAGATGATACCATCATTGTTTGTCTCGTTGACTTCTCATCAGCTCAGCTGAGTATAGCCTAAACAAATTAGCAAGTTTATGTCCAGAACAATTTTGACATACTTGCAAATGTTAACAGGATTTCAGTTAATGACAGGAGACTTCAAACTTCATAAACAGTACTCATAAAATTACACTTATGTAGTTTAGACTTAGAGAGTTCAAGTTTAAACAAAAAAAATTAATGAACGCACACAGTGATAGAAGAGTTACGTAATAAAGAATAGGGGTGAGTAAAGCGACGCGTAACTAGTAAATTGAGTAACAATGTAGTAAGTTCAGTTGAGATAGCAGAAACAAGAATGAAATCAAAGGTACACTATATGAGATGGGGTAGGGGTAAAAGCAAAGATTACGTAAACAAATGAAAGAGAGTGGAGAATTACAGTTACACGAGGGTAAGAAAAGGCAGACAACTGCTTTTTTCCGAATACATAAATCGGGATTTCAGGAATTTGATGGAGATTGCTTCAGTAAATTTGGAGAGAACTGACCGTTTTTGTCTATTGATAATTTTAGACGATTTAGCAATTTCCATCTCATGATCCGTATCAGGGAGATGCCTGGCAGTGAAAATGTTGTAAACGTTTGTTCCCTTCAGATTTAGGCTTTTTGTTACTTGTTCAAAAATTGGTGGTGTGCCCTTCTTTCTGTTCCCCCCTCCCAGTGCAACTCCTCCCACAGATACACGTAAATTTGTACACACAATTGGAGCTGACGTGAAACGGATATCTGTCAACTTTTGATTGCACCAACGAGCATGCTATCCGATAAACAGGAACTAACTTAGCTGCAGGATAGATTATGCCTAGTGGGGTATTCAGTATTCTGTTGACTGTTCCTACAATGTTGTCACCTTTAAACTCGAGTTGAATGAAGACAGGCTTTTTCCCCACTGTGAGTTGTTTGACATTTGACCCTTCACATCTTCCATACTTGTTAATGAGTCTCTGGAAGTAACCCCTTTTTTCAACATCTTTTCGGGAATCATAAATTCTTCCTCTAATATCTCTGTAGAACATATTCTCCTGACTGTACAGAACAGAGTTTTGACTAGTTCTCGTTTATAGCTATTTGAAGGAAAACTATTAAAATATAAGTATTGTTCATTCCATGTTGGCTTTCGGTAAATTTATCTGTGGGGACTGTCAAGGAAATGGAGCTTACCATCATCTTCATGTTCCATAGTGAATTCAATATTTGTATATGCGTCGTTGAATAATCCAAGTAGGTAGGAAGCATGACTTTCACTGCTGCACACTACAATTGTGTCATCTGTGACATATCGGTAATAAGAAGTTGTTTCATCGATTGCAGGCTTCAACTTTGTTTTTTCAAGGTTGGGCATGAAGATATCTGCTAAAACAGAGCGAAGTGGACTTCTCATAGATATGCCATCTAATTGGAAGTAAAGAGTGTTGTCAAACCGGAAGTGTACAGCAGTGGCACACATTAGCAATAGGCGTCTAAATTCCGACACTTTGAGTAGTAGAAGATCGGAATGCATCTTTTCAGCGTATGTACGATCCTCCCTCCATTTATTTATGCACATAAAATAAACCAGTGAATTTAATTTACATGAATAGGGTTAATAATTTCAGTCGACTCGTGAAATATGTATCAAGAGATCCCTGTGTCTTAAATACGTCATATTTGCTAAAGTTAACTTTACCAGGCCGCTTTTCCTGAGTTTTGCGCCGTGAGTGAATAATGAAATCAGCTTAAGCATTAAAATCCTGCCTATAAGTTACAGCGCTAATAGTTTCCCGTCTAGTCAGAGTGTATGACAGTAAGAGTGTTAGACGCTAAACAGGAAATCCTATCCCCCATGTGTAACTACTTATTATATTTTGATTTTGAAACGAAATTTATAATACTTCATGAGACTATGAGGAAAATACTTCCCAGAATGAGATATTTAACGTATACACATACATAAGATATACAAATGGTCCTCATGCTTTATCTATAAGTAGAAAAATTTAAATTCCTGCTCTTTCCCAGTGGAACATAGGCCTTCCGGCTTCCTACTTGAAGTCTCAGTAGCAGTGGTGTTTATTTCGTGCGGGATGAGGATGTAACCTCATACCAAACCTTTCTTCTTTTTACGGGATGACTCCAGGATAAGTGAGGTTAAGGAGTGTGTCGGCCGGGAATTGAGGCATGGTTGGCGAGAACTCTAACACTGAACCGCCGATGCACAGACTTTGTCTATACTTGTGCTTATTTCGTAAAAATCGAAGGTTGTAGAACAGATGTTAACTGTACATTCACTAGTTTGAAATCAATTAAAGTTTCTTTTATATTGTTATGCGTATAAGTCACTTTTAATCGATTTGATGAAAACTGGAAGGCTTTAAGGAGATTAATTAATGACCAGTTTTCTGTCTCAGTGACTCCTCCATGGTAAGTATAAATGTTAGTCGTCAACTAGACTTATATGAAGAAACTAATGCGTATTTTCAGCTCATTTTATGCATGTGGTGACAGCTTTGCAACTTTTCAACGTCAAATTTAAGCAAAAGAACTTTCGATTTCACTCAGGCGTATCATTTTCGGTGTCTCTTACTGAAAAAGGGAATGGGGTATGTGCACGTATTTGGAGGAAACTTTGTCTACAATTAACAGAATTTCGATAATTCATCAAAGCCTATCCTTCTTGCAAATGTTCTAAGCTGCTTACTGACTTTCGACTCTATGTCTTCAGTTCGTATTATTACAACGTTATTTAGGGATTAACATCGCCATCAGGTTTGACCAATTTACCCTGCTTTTACTTCGACCAATTATTATTACTATTTACTTCGGTTCCAAATGGAACATAGATCTGAGAAAACACATCACCATTCTCTGCTGTTCACTGCGATCCTCTCCAGCTGGCTTCACAATCTCCCACAAGCCTTCATCTTATCTTCACATGATCTCCTCCATTTACTAACAACTCATCGTCCCCCATTAGGGTTCAACATGAGGGATGGCCTGATGTACGATGTCACTTAGTTATCTCTATAACGTGTATTCGATCCGTCGCTATATTCTTCAGCATATTTGATGAGTGATAGATTCTTCATTGGTTTGCATTCATAGTTTCTTATTACTAATTCTTTCTGCCTTGCCATCTGATCTTCACAGAGGGTGGCTATTGACAAAAGTCTGTAATAGTCTGTTAGAAATGATTTCATGACACACTGGCCATTTTTCTAACCAATGTAGAAGAAGCGACTGACTAAACACTGGAGTTGAAAATCCGGATTTTTCTTTATCCTACGGAATGCAGAAGATTTCCAAACTAATTTCAGATTGATTAATGTTTTCCTACTTCTCTTTCCGATTCTAGCTTGGTTTGACATCCTCATCCATGATGCCTGTAGTTGAAACGATGCCCCCTAGATAAGTGAAGGTAATGGTCCCATTTAAAATTTATTCTTTTGATAGTGATTGGTGCTTATTGTTGTTTGGTTTGTTATTTATCTCCACCCCCTCTGTCTTCTCTACGTTCACTTGAAGTCCTTTCTCCGTTACCTGCTTCTTCTGCTAACTTGTTGGTTTTCGCCTGTAAGTCATCGAGTTTGTGTGACATTAGACATAAATCATCAACGAAGTCTATATCTCTTGGAGTCTTCTCATTATTTCTGTCTTCTCTCTTCCGAAAGTCTTCTCATAACAGGTAGGAATATCATCGTGGGTGATAATTGGAAGCCTTGTCTTACTCCTGTATTCACTTTGAGCGCCTCGCTAAGTTTTCCGTTGTGGATCACTTGACAGTTGGCATTATCCTATGGTTGTTGAATGAGGTTGATAAGGATTTAAGGCACTCATCAAGCATGACCACACTTTATTGTCCCTCCCGATCGATAACCTTCCACTAGGATCACCCACTTCCATAGTTTACACAGGGATTGACTAATCCTCAGATAGCGTCAAAATGTGCTGGTTTCTTAACTGCCTGTTAAATTAAATGCCATATTTCCAGACTAAAATTGTCTATACCAAATAATAGACTAATTAAAATGAATTTATTTCACCAAATGTCAATATTTTCTCCTATTCTGGAGACATTCTCTATAAGGACTCTTTAAAAACTTACTTAATTCACGTCTTTTTAGAGGAATGCTGAAGGTAACACCACAACGGATTCAGAATCCTCTCAGAAATCTATAAACCACTAAAACGGGCCTAACCATTAATGAGCAGAGTACTATTTCTACGCATCGTCCAAAAAATGTATAATTTTAAAAATATTTTTATGGCTTCTCAGTTTTTGCACATATTAGTGTTGAGATCTATGGAAATTGGTCCATCTGACTTTTTCAACCTGTCTTTATAGATATTCGAAGAATTTAGTAACATCTAAATGCTTTTTCTTCTTTTTTTCCCATCACGTTCCCAGTGGAACATAGGGCTTCAAGGTACAGGCTTGAAGATCCTGTAGCAGTGTTTATTTTTACAGGATGGGGTTGCTTGCCTCATGCCCAACCTTTCCTCTTTACTAGCTTTATTTCTGGCTTAGCGAGGTAAAGGAGTGCTTCGGCCGGGGATCGAACCCCGGACCATGTGCATGGTCGGCGAGCGTCCTAACCGCTGTGCCACTGACGCACACTAAATGCTACCAAGGCGAAAGGTACAAGGTGATTTGAGTAAAAGTTCACAGTTTTCACTGTCAATCTGAACGAGCTAGATCCCATTGGACAATGAAATCTGTTAGAAAAGCAATCGAAGGAGTTTTATATTGTAACTTGATATAATTGTTAAGCTGAAACTTCAAAGTTAACTAAATTTATTATATAAGAAGGCTCACATAAATAAATCTTTATTATGACTGTACAACTTTACAAATGGACTAAGTTTTCTAAGATTTTTGATGAA